AATATCACTGCATAATGTTTAATGAGCTCTCGAAAAATTACCAAAATTTGCAACTCATTCTTTTTGCCGTGGTCAAATTCGGCTATTTTTCTAAGTTTTTGTCTAATCTCCAAAAAGTACAAGTGGCAGATAAATAGAGCAAATACTATAGAACACAGAGTAATTTTTTCTTTTACTTAGCTTGCTTCTCAGAGTTTCTAAAATCAATTTCTCAATGCCATCAAATTCCATATTTAGTCAAGTCAAACCTCACAGAACAACAACCGGCAAGCGACTCGGGTGTCATTCGATGCAGCTTTTTCTCCTCTTTCTAGCGGTCGTTTTTTGTTACCGTTTCATAAAGTTCGGGATAAAATCATCATAATTCAACTTTTCCAAGGCACCCCAAGGTGTACCCGAAATTTTCGAAAGTTGCTAAACCGAAGCGGTGAATGCTCGTTTGGTTTGTAAAATTGTTGTCAAACCATAATCCATCTTTGTAAGTTTCAAAATCCGAAGACTTGTTGACGTTTGATGCACTTGTGTCTGAGAAGAGCCTGCTAAAATTCGGTGGTCATCAAAAAATCTGTACAAAAATTATGACGAAATGTAAAAAAAATGTAAAAATGTAAAAAAAATGAAATGTAAAAAACTAAGATGTAAAAAAAAGTTGTGCTGTTTTCCGTAGGGTTTGCTCCATCCATCCATTACTTGGACTCCTTCTGATGTTTGTTATAAGATTTTGGAAAAATTGTGAAACCTGGCTATCTATCTCAAAAAATCTCAAAAAGCATGGGTCGCAGATTTTGACTCTTTTTTGGAAGCTCATTGAGTTTATTGCAACAACTTCATAACCATTAAAAAGAGAATGAAATGCTGCATTAACTGCTACAGGAATCTTTTACATATCTTTGTTCCACGAGATGTGGCATACGTTTGAAAAAAGCGACATTACTTTCGGAACGACCTAATATAAAGCTGAATATCTGTTTGTCTGTCTGTCTGTCTGTCTGTCTGTATGTTCCAAATAGAAGATTCCACTTCTGAACCGATCTGGACCAAACTTGGCACACATGCATTTTGGGCCCCGGCGGGTGCCATAGGCTACTTTTCTCATCGATTGATATCGATTTTATCGATTTTTTGCAAAATTTGAGCTACGAGGCTGGGAGTTGGCACAGGAGGTAATCGAACATGCTGATTACAAATATGTTACTGGCAGGGCCGGGCGGAGCCGGTTTTGCCAACTAGTTTTGATATAAATCACCGTGTGTGTGAAGTAGGATGTGACTAAAACTTGGAACTTTTAAAGATTCGTAGCGAACCTATCATAACTGCTCTCTCTCATCTTCCAGCCACACCTCTCCGTCCTTTGCTTTAAGATCCTCAAATTTTATATAGCGTTTTGCTATCTGAGCTCTTTGAGGATTTGCCTCCCCCTCCCAACTCTTCCCGGGGCCATGTTTTCCACAGTGAGTGCTCCCCTCCCCCCCAATCTGCCTTAGAACCTTCCCCCCCCCCCAAAAGTTCTGAGACTACTCATCTCTTTCCGAAATCAAGATAGCAAGAAAATTTAAGTTGACTCCTTGAGAATATTTAGCCAACATTATAAATCTAAAATTTTCCAAACTCAAACGCTACCTCTTTTTCTTGACAAAATAATTTTTCTTGGATGCGTCATTCCTCTTTCATTCAAGAAGTTTTACTGTTTAATCTTTCGTTTGCATGTTATAAGGACTTTCCAAGTCCGGCATCCTTGCAATTCATCTATAGGTGCTCCAAATTCGACTCAATTTTCAGGTCATCTTATCGTTAGCAAGCTACTGATTCAAATTCTTGAAGGTACCTGCTCAAAGGTGTTTATGCTTTTAGATGCTTACCTAAGCAAATCTAAGCTACTTATACAATTCTGCGGTTGTGCAAAATTAACATTTGAAGAACATATGACGCATAAACAGCTATGATTTCGGATAGACTGTTTACAGCTTCCAAAGTGCATTAGAAGGAGAAATCTCATACACTAACTGTAGGAAAAATACCCACAAAAACATTTCAAAAGTATGCAAAATGTATGAAAAGCTTTTTGGGTTTTTCAGTCATTTGAGGCCCACAGTAAATATGAGGACTAAAATGCGCTCTTTGGCACGGTCTAGTAGTAGACGTCTGCAAAATGAATGACGTTTGTGATTACATCTTGAATGGCATTTCACAAATTTCAGAGATGCTAAACATCCGATTTGAGAGCTCATATCATTCACTCTCTTGCACAGAATCAGCAATGTTTTCTAGGGAAAGACAACGTGACGCCCGGTCCAACAAAATGTTGCGCGATCTAAACTGTGCTTGAATTACCGCTAAAATAAACAAAGAGTAAAGTTGCTATCTAGTGAGCAGATCAGCTTCGACGATTGTGAGAAGTAAAACAGTTGAAATACTAAAGACTGCAACTATTCTGCTAAAATTCCTGACAATTTTCTTAATGACATGGGCCTTTCAACCGAAGCGCTTATTCGAAAAAAAAATCACAGACAGAGATTGTCCAATGTAAATAGAAATCTTTGCGTGAAATTTCCAAAAAGAGATTTAGTGCAGTTTGTTTGAGAAAAAACATTTGTGAAGCATTTCGTGAAGAAATTTGGAAAACTTGGACTTTCTTGCTGAGGTAAGTTAGCAGAAAAATTAGATTGCAGAATAGCTCTATCGAATAAAGAAATGGCGCAACTGTCTTAGAATGAGGAAACAAATTTGGCGCTCGAGGAGTGAAATATTGGTGACTGCGACTTTTTTCTGAAAAATCTGACTTTTTTGAAAAACTTACGGTGCACTCCAAATTAAGCACTCCATAGTAGGGATACAGAAGCTTGAAATGTGAAGTAAGACAAAATAAATCTGCTAATAACGATTTCGGCGTCACTTGTTGGGAATGAAAAACCGAAATTGAGTTGCTCACATAGAAACAATTCGAACTATAAGAAAGTTAGCTTGTCTAGTGTCTTCTTGGGTTATGCCACTTGATCAACATTGTGATTGCACTTTTTGGGTTATGCCACTGATCAACATCGTCTGAGACAGGCATTACTGCCGCTTCTCAGACAATCGCCGGGGGCAGGCGGGCACCGGAAAAATAGATTGCTGATCTCTCGCATTCCGCTCGCGGATTTTTTGGAAAGCAATCAGGACTTTTCGGAAGACCGCTTGCTGAGTTCTCGATTCCTCAGAGATTTAGCAATATATCTGCAAAAGATAAGAGCGAAAAAAAATTCAACAGGCGGTCTCTCAAAAATCTCCTGACTCAGCAAGCGGTCTTCCGAAAAGCCGTAATTGCTTTGCAAAAAATCCGCGAGCGAGGTGCGAGAAATCAGCAATCTATTTTTCCGGTGCCCGCCTGGCCCCAGCGATTGTCTGAGTTTGAGTCATCAGCTCGGTACGCTTGCACCGGCACAAAACGAAGGACGGTAGTTTCCACCCCTGGCGCGAGTGTGACGTCAGATGGGGGTGCTTGCGCTTTATATAGTATGATTGAATACGGTATATCCATATGGATTTAACACAACATCAAAGAATATCAATGGATGGTGACATATCAATGGTAAATAACCCACTTGCATACAAAAAATAATCATCTTTATTACAACTTCAAAATAACAAAATATAGGATGCGCATTAAATTTAGATATAAAAACGAAAATTGTAAAAAAAAATTTTCTTTGAAATCCTTCGTGTTAATTTCGTTTTGTAACCAACATTTTGTTTCTTTATATGTAATGGTTTTTATCCCTTTTCTTTTGTTAGACTTAGATTTCCTGTAGTTATATGTTTATGGTAATCATCAACATACTCTTTGTAACTGTATTCACTGTAATTAAATTGTTTATTGAGAATGTTCAAAATTTGTTATCTATCAAGTTTACTGAGAATATCGTTGAGATTAATTAGGTGTCTTTTAAAAAATTATAAGTGTAAACTAATTAGCATGATTTGTATTTAGTATAACCATTCTTTGAGACTCATGAATATCCTAAAGTCTACAGATAAGTCTGCCTTTTTGACACGAAAAATCAACGAAAATCCGCTTTCGCGCCGCCAGAAGTCTTGCAGATAAGTCCTCCCTTCAGATAAGTTCGGACTTACTTGACAGATTTCAGGGTAGTTATTATGGAAAGAAAGCGGACTTATCTGAAATTGTCTGATGGGAGGACTTATCTGTGAGATTTTAGGGTATATGTATTGTTGATTACTTTATCAAAGATAACTAGTATATTGTTTGCCGTTGAATTCAAGCCTATCCTAATAGCAGCCGCACATTTACTGTTTGTGACTAAACCTATCCTTCATCTTTTTTTTCCATCAAATAACGTTTCTTTACAATTCTAGCAGGTTTCTACAAGCTTTGACGTTCTCTTATCAGGAAACATTGATGTAAGACGATGTTACTTTCAGATGAACAGACTATGTAGGGTGTAAGATCCACTATTAATGAGTGCTTTGAGTTTGAAGAAAATCACTAGTGGCAAAGAAACGTTTTTTTTGAAAGAAAGAGTTGACAGAGAGGTCTAGTGAAGAACACTTCACTGTGTCATGAAAGCTGCATCTCACTAACATGAAATACAGCACTCATAACATATACCTAAATTAACGAAGATATAACCAGTCAAAACAACAAAAACTGCTTTCTAGCTTACTTTCATTTTTAGCCGATTGAAGCATACGTAAAAAGTGAGAATAAGAGCAAAGAAAACACTGAACTTACCTGGAACGTTTTGCTCTGCGGCAATTGCAAGCACAAATGCTGCCGCATTGCAAGCGCACGATATCTACCGAGAAATCTACTCGGTACCTACATTCACTTTTAGTTTCAAATAAAAGCATAAGAAATTTTGAGGAAGACAAGAATTATGTACCATTCTCTGAGAAAATAATTCTCTTTTTTGAAGCACTTTGGATAACACATATTCACTCTGTTACAATCCTGCAAATAACGTTTCCTGTCGCAGAAGTTTATTACCAAATAGGATTTGCAGGAACCGATGAAAGTGAAAAAAGAAGTGCGGACGCTGTCAACCGTAAACATTTTAAAGGGCTTGCAATCTTTTCTGATGATCCAGGGTAAGTTAGTTCTCGCTTAAATTTGCTGTAATGCCCCTTGTGTAAGCTTAGATTTACTCTATGTTTTAGTATCTGGCCAGGAGCGGAAGTTCCATACGAACTCGTACCATATTTGAATGATACTCAACGGAGATACGTACGATATGCGATAAATGCGTTTAAAATAAACACATGCATAAAATTCCGGAAGCGAACAGAACGTGATATTTACTACTTGTTAATTACTGCAATACCCAAGAAATGGTAAGTATCAGTTTTTATACCATTTTAGATATTCTGCCTTTTCTTTAGGTGTTATAGCATCGTCGGTCGGGATACTTCCTCTCGTTGTCGGACAAATGAGGGCAAGTTCATTACTGAATTAAATATGGATCCTGAATGCTTTGACGGACCAGCCATGATTCATGAATTGATGCATAGTATCGGTTTTTATCACGAACATCAAAGGTGTATATATATTAGGTCGTTCCGAAAGTAATTTCGCTTTTTCAAACGTATGCCACATCTTCTGAAACAAAGATGTGTAAGAGATTCTGGTAGCATTTGATGCAGCATTTCATTCTCTTTTTAATGGTTATGAAGTAGTTGCAATAAAGTCAATGAGCTTCCAGAAAATCTGCGACCCATGTTTTTGAGACGGCCAAGTTTCACAATTTTTCTAAAATTTTATAACAAACCTCAAAAGGAGTCCAAGTAATGGATGGATGGAGCAAACCCTACAGGAAACAACACAACTTTTTCCTTCTTTCCAGAGCTCGTCATAATTTTTATACAGATTTTTTGATGGAACCATCGAATTTTAGCAGGCTCGTCTCAGACACAAGTGCATCAAAGGCCGAAAGTCTCCGGATTTTGAAACTTACAAAAATGGATTATGGTTTGGCGACATTTTACAAACCAAACGAGCACCGCTTCGGTTTAGCAACTTTCGAAATTTCGGGTACACCTTGGGGTGCCTTGGAAAAGTTGAACTATGATGATTTTATCCCGAACTTTATGAAGCGGTAACAAAAAACGACCGCTAGAAAGAGGAGAAAATGCTGCTCAAATGACACCCGAGTCGCTTGCCGGTTGTTGTTTTGCGAGGTTTGACTTGACTAAATATGGAATTTGATGGCATTGAGAAATTGATTTTAGAAACTCTGAGAAGCAAGCTAAGTAAAAGAAAAAATTGCTCTGTGTTCTATAGTATTTGCTCTATTTATCTGCCACTTGTACTTTTCGGAGATTAGACAAAAAATTAGAAAAATAGTCGGCTGGGCCATGGCAAAAAGCATGAGTCGCAGATTTTGGTAATTTTTCGAGAGCATTAAACATTATGCAGTGAAATTAGAACCATTAGAAAGAGGATGAAATGCTGCATCGAATGCTTTTAAGACTTCTTGAAAATGTTGATTCCACGAACAGTGGCGTTCATTCGAAAGAAACGACATTACTTTTGGAACGACCTAATAGAATAGTTTTGTTTGTTCTGAGCTTGTAAACAGGAAAAAATTTTTTGCAGAGAGGATCGCGATCCACTCGTTACTGCAGGACCTCCTGATCCAAATCCCGAACGCGAGTATCAAGATCGACGACTTACTTACTCGAGAACTGAGGCACAATACATGGGTGAATACGATAGTGAATCAGTCATGCACTACCCATTTGAAGATTTCAAACCCTGGACACGAGCATACTTTACCCGATCGGACATCGATAATATCAACAAATTGTATAAGTGCTCGATGAAGAAGAATAACATGAAACGGAATGCCGTTTGGACTACTTTTACGTGGAATCCGAGAAAAGTAACAAGATTTCTCCCTGCTACATTTCTCGACTTCTTTGTAAAAGTAGCCCAAACGGCATTATCCGTAAAGATAAAAACGAATACACCTATCAGGAAAAACACCATGAGTGCCAGGAATACTCGCGGGAGACCTGCCATCGGGAAAAATAATGCCCCTTGGACTACTTTTAGGAGGAATTCGAAAAATGCAGCAAGGACAACTCCTGCTACTTGGAGTCCCAATAATTACAGAAAATATTTTGAGGCGAAAAATGCCAGGAGGACGAATGCACCTGCTAGGATATATGACAAGAATGTCAGGAATACTCGCGGGAGACCTGCCGTCGGGAAAAATAATGCCCCCCGGACTACTTTTAGGAGGAATTCGAAAAATGCGGCAAGGACAACTCCCGCTACTTGGAGTTCCAATAATTACAGAAAATATTTTGAAGCGAAAAATGCCAGGAGGACGAATGCACCTGCTAGGATACATAACAAGAATGCCAGGAATACTCGTGGGAAACCTGCCATCGGGACGAATAATGCCCCCTGGGCTAATTCATGGAGGAACTCGGGAAATGCAGCATGGAATCCACTTACTTGGAATTCCAATAATTACAGAAGATACTTCGAAAGGAAAAATGCCAGGAAGACGAATACACCTGCTAGGATATATAACAAGAATGTCAGGAATACTCGCGGGAGACCTGCCGTCGGGAAAAATAATGCCCCCCGGACTACTTTCAGGAGGATTTCGAAAAATGCGGCAAGGACAACTCCCGCTACTTGGAGTTCCAATAATTACAGAAAATATTTTGAAGTGAAAAATGCCAGGAGGACGAATGCACATGTTAGGATACATAACAAGAATGCCAGGAATACTCGCGGGAAAGCTGCCATCAAGACGAATAATGCCCCCTGGACTAATTTTGAGAGGATTTCGAGAAATGCAGCAAGGACAACTCCCGCTACTTGGAGCTCCAATAATTACAGGAAATATTTAAAAGCGAAAAATGCCAGGAGGACGAATGCAGCTGCTAGGATACATAACAGGAATGCCAGGAGGACGAATGCAGCTGCTAGGATACATAACAGGAATGCCAGGAATACTCGCGGGAGACCTGCCATCGGGACGAATCATGCCCGCTGGACTAATTTCAAGAGGATTTCGAGAAATGCAGCAAGGACAACTCCCGCTACTTGGAGTTCTAATAATTACAGGAAATATTTTAAAGCGAAAAATGCCAGGAGGACGAATGCACCTGCTAGGATACATAACAAGAATGCCAGGAATACTCGCGGGAGACCTGCCATCAGGACGAATTATGCCCCCTCGACTAATTTTAAGAGGAACTCGAAAAATGCAGCAGGGAATCCACTTACATGGAATTCCAATAACTTTTATAGAAGATACTTTGCAGGGAGTATTGCCGTGAGAAAGAATACAGCCCCTAGGGGAAACAACATGAATATCAGGAATACTTCCGGGGAAAATATCATGAGGAAGTATAACCCCTGTACTAATGCTAAGAGGAATCCGGGAAATGCAGCAAAGAGGGGTCCCGTTAGTCGGAGTTCCAGTAGTCACAACAGGAGCAATTTCGCAGGGAATAATAAGAGGAAAAAAACATATTTAAAAAAAAAGTTTTCAAATTTCAGGAATACTCCCGGGAGAAATCCAGTAGGGATGAATAGAGCCGCTTGGAATGCTAGGAGGAGTACGAAAGATGCAGCAGTCAAGAATTTTTCTAGGTGGAGATCTAGTAGTCCCAATAAAAGTTATTTGGCAGAGAATAATGCTATGAGGAAGAAGAGAGCCTCTAAGAGATACAACTCTAAAGGAAATGCCGAAAGTACTTCGGAGAGAGCCACGAGGACGAATAACAATGCGGTCAAAAGGAATTCCATTAGGAATGCAACTTAGATCTTATTGTCGTCAATATGAATAAGAAAAAGAAATGACTGGTGAAAAACCTGCTACTTGAGTTGAATTCTACGTTTCTACGATTGCGACAATAAAAGATTTGAAATTTAAAATCAAACGCAGACCTTTCATTAATATTTCTCTCAGTCTCTCTTCTTCTCAAAAAAAACTACGGTGCTTCAGTGATCTTCACATACTTGAAGTTTATACATAAGAGAATATGCTAACATTCAAAAATGCTAGAATAGGACAAACAAAGTATTGTTCATGGTAGTAAATAGAGCTTTTTTCGAAGTGTTTCAAACTTTTTTTGTAGAACCTATTATGTACCAGAGCGGATGCAGAGAAGCTTTATCCGAGAAAGCAAGCCACTAGACTGAGAAGTGTGCGACTGTCACAACTATATATTAGGTTGTCTCATAATTAATGCACGTTTTTATTTGCTTGCTTTAACAAAGCAACCAGACTCAACCCAACAAAGGATAAGGGGTACTGTTCGATAGAGCAAAACAAGCTCTACAAGATGGCGCTCATGTCTTTGCGCTATGCTCGATCCACGGAGAGTTCGAAATCAAAATCTATAGATTTCCAAATGCCCAAAAAATCGAAAAAAAATCAGATCTTCGTCCAAATAATTTCTACGAACCTCCCACTCGCTCACATCAATACTATCGATATCTGATATTCATATGTACGATTGCCGTATTTTTTCCTTGACTAGAAACTGAGAAAACGAAAATTTTCGTGTTTTTCTAAAAGCAATGCTGAGCCGTTTTTGCATATGTAGTTCTATACTACAAGCCTAGGTAAGTATAACTGTAGGTTTTCAGCCCATTCCAAGCGGTAGTTTTCGAAAAATAACGAATTCGGATTTTTTCGTTTCAGTTTCAGTGCTAAAATCGACATTTCTCGAAAAGTACCGCTCGAAATAGGCTGAAAACCTACAGTTATGCTTACCTAGGCTTATAGTATAGAACTACATATGCAAAAACGGCTCAGCATTGCTTTCAGAAAACACGAAAATTTTCGTTTTCTCAGTTTCTAGTCAAGGAAAAATACGGCAATCGCACATATGGATATTAGATATCGATAGTATTGATGTGAGCGAGTGGGAGGTCCGTAGAAATTATTTAGACGAAGATCTGATTTTTTTCGATTTTTTGGGCATTTGTTGGAAATCTACAGATTTTGAGTTCGAACACTCCCTGGATCGAGCATGACGCAAAGACATGAGAGCCATCTTGTAGAGCTTGCTTTGCTCTATCGAACATTACCCCTTATCCTTTGTTGGGTTGAGTCTGGTTGCTTTGTTAAAGCAAGCAGTTAAAAACGTGCATTAATTATGAGACAACCTAATATATTAGGTCGTTTCAAAAGTAATTTCGCTTTTTTCAAACGGGCGCCACATTTGATGCAACAAAGCTTTCTCAGAGATCTTGGATGCATTCGATGCAGCATTTCATTCTCTTTCTAATGGTTATAAATTTGTTGCAAAATAGTCAACGAGCTTTCAGAAAATAACCAAAATCTGCGACCCATGCTTTTTGAGATGGTCAAGTTTCACAATTTTTCAAAACTTTCAAATCAATCCTCAGAAGGAGTTCAAGTAACGATTCGATAGAGCAAATCTTATAGAATACAGTACTACTTTTTTCTCTTCCTCGTAGCTCGCCGTAATATTTTTTGAGATTTTTTGACAGAACTATCGGATTTTGGCAGGCCCACCTCAGCCACAATCGCATCAAACATCGTAAATTTTCGAAATTTGAGACCACCAAGACGGTACTATGAGTTAGCATTAATTTTACAAAGCAAATGAGGGTTTACGGGTTCGAAATATCAAATTTCGAGTTTTTTGGGTACAGCCTGGGGATCTCTAAAAAAAGAGTTATGATGATTTCTCCCCGGAAACTAAATGAATCGGAAACAAAAACACCTATTAGGAAGAGGAGAAAATGCTGCATCGAATAGTGTGCGAGCTGCCTTTCTTTTGATGTTCTACGAGGATTTAGCTGCTCAAGTATGGAAATCCGTAGCATCAGTTAAAATTCTGTTAAAAATGTATGACAAGCTATGGAAAGGAGAAAAAAGTAGTACTGTATCCTATAAGGTTTGCTCTATCGAATCGTTACTTGAACTCCTTCTGAGGATTGATTTGAAAGTTTTAAAAAATTGTGAAACTTGACCATCTCAAAAAGCATGGGTCGCAGATTTTGGTTATTTTCTGAAAGCACGTTGACTATTTTGCAACAATTTCATAACCATTAGAAAGAGAATGAAATGCTGCATCGAATGCATCCAAGACCTCTTAGAAAGCTTTGTTGCATCAAATGTGGCGCCCGTTTGAAAAAAGCGAAATTACTTTTGAAACGACCTAATATTAGGTTGTCCCAAAAGTTCTTGCGCCGGATATTCAAAAAATCATATCTTTCTTGCCACTCGATGGATTTTGTAGGTTTTAATTTCATTTGAAAGAGGAAACCTTTCCCTTTACAGGAGTACCTTTGCTGTGAAGCGCTGTCAGAAAGTTCCAAAGCTAGAGGCAATTGAATGAAATCAGTCAAAATCGGCATTTTTCAAATGCCATGGACATGGGTTTTGTGACCTTCTTTTTCTAGCTGAACAAGTTTCGAGCTAATTGAGAGCATTTTTGATTTTCATGAAAAACGCAATCCTGAAAATCCGAAAAAATCACGAAGAACAAAATTGCTCTCGTTTGACACAGTTTTCGCTCAGTCAGAAAGAAAAAGTTACAAGACCCATAATCGTGGCTTTCCCGTCTTCTCGGTGACGCTTTTAGGCTTTTTTAAGCACGTTTGAAAATTGCAAAACTAAAGGAATTTTCTTCATTTGCTCCTAACTCTCGATCTTTTCAGTTTTAGTCTATGGGAAAGGTACCACTGTAATGTGCAAAACTTTCTCTATCAAATAAAAATTCTTCCAGAATTTTTCGTAACCAGCTTGAAAGATGCCGATATTGACTGATTTCATTCAATTGCCTCTAACTTTGGAGCTTTCTGACGACGCTTCACAGCAAAGATACTCTTGTAAAGAGAAAGGTTTCCTCTTTCAAAAGAAATTGAAATCTACAAAATCCATCGAGTGGCAAGAAAGATATGATTTTTTGAATATCCGGTGCAAGAACTTTTGGGACAACTTAATAGTTAACTTGTTTACATAAACAAGTAACATACGTTATCATTTCATTCCTCATCATCTCCCTCCTAAGACAAAGATTATCTACTTATATGTCTTCTTCTTAGGATTGACTTGAAGTTGATTAAGTTGCTTTCGGTGTCGCACTGGATACTTCTTAGCACAGGTGCGATAAGGTGGGAATGACTCCTCCAGAGTGAAGAGGGTCACAGTGGTCGCAGTCCCTCCAGGGTGAAGGGTGTTTCAGTTGATCGAGAAATCAGAAAATGCCGACAGGGGGGGGGGAGAAGGTGATGATGTTTTCTTATTTTCCAGATAAAAGTTTATCATATTAAATTCTCTGCTATCATTGGTTGTCTTTTTACCAAATGTGAAAACTGATAGAATTGGAACAACCCTATATGTTTTTGAAAATACCATAGAAGATGTGTATGCGAGAACATCTGTTTCGGAAAAGAGGTATAATTTTCAAGCATTTACGAATTTTTAGAAGAAATGCGTGATTTCTGTAGACGAACAGCAACGTCAGCAATGAAAAGGTTTTAACAATTATCTTGTCTTCCGCTTTCAGATACATAGCTTGCTTGGAGTCTAATGGAAAAGTGCTTGGTGAAGAGTGTGGGTAGTGATTTCTGGATAATTACAAGTTTTTAGGCTAGAAAAATCGGTAACTTCTGTAGACGAACATCTTATACGCCGTGAGGTCACCTTTAGAAGCTCCTCCTCCTTCGCTTTCAGAAAATATATACTTTGCCTGAAGTCCGATGAAAAAAGTGCCTGGGTGAATGGTGTCTTAGTGATTGCTAAAGATTTTTAAGTTTTTAACATAAAAAATCCATAACTTCTGAAGATGAACATCTTGTACGCCGTGATGGTCACCATTAGAAGCGCCTCGTCCTCCGCTTTCAGAAAATATATACTTTGCCTGGGGTATGTTAGGAAAAGTGCCGGGTGGGTGAGACTTTTATAATGGGAGTGCTCAAGTAGACGTCTATTCACAATGATAAAAAAAAGCCTGTACTTGAGCACTCTCATTATAAAATCTCACCCACCCTTCACCCGGCACTTTTTCTAAAGGACCCCAGGCAAAGTATATATTTTCTGAAAGCGGAGGACGAGGCGCTTCTAATGGTGATCATCTCTGCGTACGAGATGTTCATTAGCAGAAGTTATTAATTTTTTTCAACGGACACCAAACATCTTATATACAAAGCTGAATGTCTGTTTGTATGTCTGTCTGTATGTATGTATGTATGTATGTACGTATGTTCCGAATAGAAAATTCCATTTCTGAACCGATCCGGACCAAACTTGGCACACATACACTACGGGCCCCGGCGGGTGTCATAGGCTACTTTTCGTCATCGATCGATATCGATTTTATCGATTTTTATCGATTTTTTTGCTGAGTTCACCTACGGGGCTGGGAGTTGGCACAGGGGGGTAATCGAGCATGGGGATTCCGAATACAATATTGGTTTTCAGGATTATCGATTACTTTTATCGATTTTATCGATTTTTTGCAAAGTTTGAGCTACGGGGCTGGGAGATGGTACAGGGGGGTAATCGAGCATGGGGATTCCGAATACAATATTGGTTTTCAGGATTATCGATT